ATCCCGCGACACAGTCACGGGAATGTTGAATGCTCTTCGTACGTCGTGTGGTCACTGTGCTGAGCAACGCCAAATGCACGATCGTTTAGAGGGGTACGCATCGGGATCCCGTCCTGCCCGGCTGGCGGGTCTGAGTAGTTAAAGCGAAAGGTCGGGTCCCGAGGTGTGGTGCTTCGGAGTGATGGCGTCCCAGTCGTCATGCCCTCCACTGCATTACCTCGGGGGGTTGGGAACGCAGTTCCCGTGCTCTCCGCAGCGTCCTCGCTCGGCGCCAGCGACAGAGTCGCCGAATGCCTCTTCTCTGCTTCCTTTTCCCATGCCTCTCGAGACACAGTCCCAAGAATCTCGGAACCTCGTTCTGACACCGCAAATGTGAACGTTGTGTCGAGCAACTGTCTTTCACCTGAGGCCCTCCCCGCGGGCGGGGGCACTGGCAGCGTGGAATCCGCGAGCTAGCTGCCTGGACGCAGTCCGAGCATGCCCGGGATGGGTCGCAGAACGATCCTTGTAGATCTCGGTCTGGTTTGCGCGGTCTGGGTCGCAGGTGTTGGCGGATGGGCTGGCACAGCCCGGACGGACCCTAGAGTAACGTCTCCTGCCACGGCGAGGGGAAGGAAGTGCACGAATGCGGAGATGCTGAAGGCGATTGGCCGAAATCGAAGGCGGCGGAGGGTGGGAACCATTGCGGTCGACGCGGGGCGAGACATGGCGGCCGTGGTGGGAGCAAGGGTACACCTGCTCTGCTACCAGTGAGAAATAAAGATGTCAGAAAGGAGGCGATGTTTTCCGTAAGCGGATGAATGAGGCGGAATGTGTAAGGCGCGAATAAAACGGGCACGGAAGCTCTGCCAACTTCCGTGCCCCACAGCAAACACGACGTTGGCATGGGGGAGACCCTTACAGGGCAAAAAACGGTGGACATACCTGATTACCGTTCGAGTAGGAGGACGAGGAGGCAACGGAGGAGGAGGAGGATAACGAGGACGAGGATGCAACGGAGGAGGAGGAGGAGGAGGAAGAGGAGGAGGGGGAGGCGCGGACGGAGGAGGAGGATGAGGAGAAGGATGATGATGATGGTGGTGATGATGATGATGATGCTGAGGACGAAGAGGAGGAGGAAGAAGAGGATGAAGAGGAGGAGGAGGACGAAAGTTCTGCACGAAACGGGAGGAGGAGGGAGAGGGGGAGGAGGAGGAGGAGGATGAGGAGGAGGAGGAGGAAGAGGAGGAAGATGATGATGCTGATTATGATGATGCTGATGATGGTGATGATGATGATGATGATGATGATGATGATGATGATGATGATGCTGATGATGAGGAGAAGGAGGAGCAGGCGAAGGAGGAAGAGGAGGAGGGGGCGGAGAGGAGGAGAAGGAGGAGGAGGAGGAAACGAAGGAGAAGGACGTGGTGGAAGAGAAGGGGGAGGAGGAGCAGGCGGAGGAGGAGGAGGAGGAGGAGGAGGGTGAGGAGGAGGAGGGTGAGGAGGAGAAGGAGGAGGACGAGGGTGCTGCACGAAATGGGAGGGGGAGGAAGATGGGGAGGAGGAGGAGGAGGAGGCGGAGGAGGAGGAGGAGGACGAGCAGGATGACGATGATGATGATGATGATGATGATGATGATGATGATGATGATGATGATGATGATGATGATGATGATGACGATGATGGTGATGATGATGCTGAGGATGAGGATGATGATGATGCTGATGATGATGATGCTGATGATGAAGAAGAGAAGGATGATGATGATGCTGATGATGATGGTGGTGATGATGATGCTTCTGATGAGAAAGAGGATGATGAGGAGGAGCAGCAGGAGGACGAAGAGGAGGTGGAGGACACGGAGGAGGACACGGAGGAGGACACGGAGGAGGACACGGAGGAGGAAGGAGGAGGAGGAGAGGAGGAGGAGGAGGGAGGAGGAGGAGGAGGAGGAGGAGGAGGAGGAGGAGGAGAGGAGGAGGAGGGAGGAGAGGAGGAGGAGGAGGAGGAGGAGGAGGAGGAGGAGGAGAGGAGGAGGACGAGGTGCTGCACGAAGGGGGAGGAGGAGGGGGAGGAGGAGGAGGAGGAGGAGGAGGAGGAGGAGGAGGAGGAGGAGGAGGAGGGGAGGGTGCGCGTACTATGCGTGGGAGCGGGCCGTCGACGTTTCATCGGGGCCCATGCTCACGGCCGAGCCCCACGAGGGGCCAGAGAGGGGGCATGGATGAGCACCTGTTTAAGATGAAGATGAGGAGGAGGAGGAGGAGGAGGAGGAGGAGGAGGAGGAGGAGGAGGAGGAGGAACAGGAGCAGGAGGATGAGGAGGAGGATGATGATGAGGAAGAGGAGGAGGAGGACGACGACGAGGAGCAGGAGGAGGAGGGGAAGGAGGAAGAGCACGATGAGGATGATGATGAGGAGGAGAAGGAGGATGGTATCCAAATAGTCGGATCGAGTGGGGGTCGCGGCCCGGGGACGTTTGAGCGACGACAGGAAACGGGTCTTACGTTCGATGACACAGCAACCTTCTGCGGTAGCGTGCGCGGGCCGCCAACGCGGCACGCTACATGCTGCATTGGAAGCGAGGGCGCCGACGTGCGACCTCACGCGGGCAACTTTCGTGAGAATGTCCGTGCAGTCGAGCCCGTCATTCTGCGTCGCTCACCTGGCATCTGGGGCCAATTTTCCTTTCCACGCCCTGCCCCCCTGTTATCTATGGCCGGAGGCAGCAGCAAGGGCATGTATCAAAGCGTCGACCGCAGCAGGGGGATCAGCGGATTCCTTCGTCAAGCGCGTGGCCCCGTCGTCCTCATGATGAGGAGAAGCTGCACAAACAAGAGCCTTTAAAGGTCTACTCGAATTTCTCTCGGCGGCGACGATAGGGGCGAATAGCCCAGGGGCGGGCATTACACGTATTCGCCCGTGAGCCTTTTCGAAGACATCGATCATCGGCGCACCTGAATACATGCATTGCTCACCCCTGGGCTATCCGCCCCTATCGTCGCCTCTGATTCTTGGACTGGCGATGGGCCCCTGGCGGCGCCTCCGGCGCCGCCCCTGGCGCGCTCCGACGGTTACGGAGGCGCCGCCATAAGGGCCACGCTCCAGTCCAAGAAATCCGCGGGGACCGTCCAAGAACTCCCGTCAAAAACATGAGGCCCTTCGCTGGCCAGAACGCCCCGAGCCATCAGATCACCGAAGGCACCCTCCCCCGGACTGCACAGGATCCGACGGGCACGAAGAGCATCGGGGCACCCTCCCCGATCCGACCTCGATCCGATACCTCGGCCCGACCGTGCGCCGCTTTTTACCTAACAGCGAAGACTGATAGGCTTCTAGTAAGGTCAAAAGAAAGCATCATGACTCCCCAGGGGGGTCTGGGCGGGATCCGGACGGGATCTGGACGGGAATCCGGGGACTCCTTTTTTAGCCAACTGTAACGCACTTCGTGGTCTTCGATTTCCCAGAACTCCATTCCTGGGCATGATTTTGAATGCCCGGAGCCAACTGTAGGCCACTTCGTGGTCTTCGAGTTCCCAGAACTCCATTCCTGGGCATGATTTTGAATGCCCGGAGCCAACTGTAGGCCACTTCGTGGTCTTCGAGTTCCCAGAACTCCATTCCTGGGCCACATTTTGAATGCTGAGGCAGGCTGATGCTGAGACTGAGGCAGGCTGAGGCTGAGGCAGGCTGAGGCTGAGGCCGAGGCTGAAGGCAGACTGAGGCTGAGGCTGAAGCAGGCTGCTGAGGCAGGCTGAGGCTGAGGCTGAGGCTGAGGCTGAGGCTGAGGCAGGCTGATGCAGGCTGAGGCTGAGGCTGAGGCTGAGGCTGAGGCTGAGGCTGAGGCTGAGGCAGGCTGAGGCTGAGGCTGAGGCTGAGGCTGAGGCTGAGGCAGAGGCTGAGGCTGAGGCAGGCTGAGGCTGAGGCTGAGGCTGAGGCTGAGGCTGAGGCTGAGGCAGGCTGAGGCTGAGGCTGAGGCAGGCTGATGCTGAGGCAGGCTGAGGCTGAGGCTGAGGCTGAGGCTGAGGCAGGCTGAGGCTGAGGCCGAGGCTGAAGGCAGACTGAGGCTGAGGCTGAAGCAGGCTGAGGCTGAGGCTGAGGCAGGCTGAGGCTGAGGCTGGAGAGGCTGAGGCTGAGGCTGAGGCTGATGCAGGCTGAGGCTGAGGCAGGCTGAGGCTGAGGCCGAGGCTGAAGGCAGACTGAGGCTGAGGCTGAAGCAGGCTGAGGCTGAGGCAGAGGCAGGCTGAGGCTGAGGCTGAGGCAGGCTGATGCTGAGGCAGGCTGAGGCTGAGGCTGAGGCTGATGCAGGCTGAGGCTGAGGCAGGCTGAGGCTGAGGCCGAGGCTGAAGGCAGACTGAGGCTGAGGCTGAAGCAGGCTGAGGCTGAGGCTGAGGCAGGCTGAGGCTGCTGGCTGAAGGCTGATGCTGAGGCTGCTGAGGGCTGAGGCTGAGGCTGAAGCAGGCTGAGGCTGAGGCTGAGGCAGGCTGAGGCTGAGGCTGAGGCAGGCTGATGCTGAGGCTGAGGCTGAGGCTGAGGCTGAGCAGGCTGAGGCTGAGGCAGGCTGAGGCTGAGGCCGAGGCTGAAGGCAGACTGAGGCTGAGGCTGAAGCAGGCTGAGGCTGAGGCTGAGGCAGGCTGAGGCTGAGGCTGAGGCTGAGGCTGAGGCTGAGGCTGAGGCTGAGGCTGAGGCTGAGGCTGAGGCTGAGGCCTGAGGCTGAAGGCAGACTGAGGCTGAGGCTGAAGCAGGCTGAGGCTGAGGCTGAGGCAGGCTGAGGCTGAGGCTGAGGCAGGCTGAGGCTGAGGCAGGCTGAGGCTGAGGCTGAGGCTGAGGCAGGCTGAGCCTGAGGCTGTGACTGCGACTGCCGTTGCCACTGCGACTGTCATCGTGAATGCGACTACGACTGCGAGAACAGCAGAATTCTACAACTGGATGCTCATCTGAATCTTAAGGGGAATGCTTCCCAATATGCTCCTACACATCGCTGTTAGGTTGCTTTGCTGGGATAATTTCCTCCCTCGAGTCCTGGCCGCCCTCCTCGCCGGCCCCCTCCTCGGCTCCGCACCGGTCGAGCGGCGGTGCCCCAGCAGAGCGACCGGCCTCCACCGCCGGGCACTCCAGCTCGGCCGCTTCCGCCGTCGGGGGCGTCTCCACCTCCGTGGCCCTCCTCGCCGCCGCGCCGTCGGCTCCACCTGGAGGCAGAGGGCAACTGCACAGGCACAAACTTTCACAGCCAGCCTCGATCTCACTCCCTGTCCGTGAGATTGACGGGCCCCAGTGCGATGCCGATCTTAGGGAGGCGCCCGCAGAAATTGAGGGGATCCTCAAGATCGGCATCGAGATCATGTGCGGCCAATCATGGGGATACACGCGTTCATTTCTAACCGTGCTCATTTCTAATTGTGCTCGTTTCTAATTGTTTCTGGCCCCCTAGTGGCCAGGAAGAGGGCCAGGATAGAACAATTAGAAATGAAAGGATCGTGCCCCCCCAAAACATCAAAGAACTTTCGAATAATTAGAAATTCACAATGTGTACGGATGTGCGTCAGGCTGGTGATTCCGCAGGTCCGTTTGGATCTCTTGCATCGGCGCCGGGCCCCGCCTGGTCCCCCGGGCGCAGGGGCTTCCGCGCCGGTCCCAAAAGATCCGCGCGGAGCTCCGAACATCTATGCGGTGCGGGCCTGAATTTTTGGCGTCGGCGCCGTTCGCAGAGGCGGGGGCGGGACAACCCCAGACATCGGGCGTTTCGAAAAACTCGAGATTATTTTTTTTCGCAATTTTTGCCCTCCCGGGGCCCTCGTCAGGCCTCGGGACCGTCAAAAAACGACTCGGGATGAGAACCCGGTCCCAGGGAAGTGGTCGCGAGGTCGGGGGCCCGCGTCTCGAAAAAATCGAGACGTCGGATGTCTGGGACGCGAGGGCCTTTGGGCCCCTCCGGGCACCAGACCTGGCCGAAATCGGCGAGTTCCCCAGCAGCGCCGACCGCAGCACAATCTGCATCGGCCAACGTCCATCTGCTCATGCCGCCTTTTGTCGGGCGTTGGCAGAACTGGGTTTAGTGGGACCTGGTTTAGTGATATGTACTGGGGGACGGTCCCCCCGCCCCGTTCCACGAACCGGAACTGCCGTCGCCCGAAAAAAACACCAGCTACGGCAGACCTGGTTTAGTGATTCGGGCCAGTGTAGGGGCTCTGGGGCCCTACCACTAACCGGGTCACCTTACCTGGGGTCCTGGCTACACTCGATTTTGTTCTCCGGCCACCAGCGGCGCTGGAGGGCGTGGCAGGCGGGTCCCTGCTGCCGGCACTCCGCCTCTTGCGCACGGAGCAGGCGGGGCATGTCCCAAAGACCAGGTCTTTATCCAGAAACTTGTCTTGACGGTCCATGGGCCCTGGGAGGGCCCCGAGAGCACGAAGACGATGAAAAACCTGCCGGCCCGTTCCCCTCAAGCCCCAGTGAGCAGGTCTTCAAGCCACAGTCAGGTCTCTGGCGGCCGTTCGAGGCGATTCTGGCCGATTCTAACACTCCTGGACCACCCTCGACGAGGCGCGGCTGATGGAAACCACCCCGAGCCCAGCAAACTTCCAGAAACTCTGGGGACCTCAGTAAGCCGCCGAGAACAGCAGGAACGTGATCATCGCTGAACTGATCTCTTTCCCCTCTGTCGTGGCCTTACCTACGTAGCCATTACTTTATTCATGCCAAAATGTATACGTATGTGCGTGCGAGAACCATCGCGCGCGCTGCGCGCGCACTAAGTCCACTTGCCATGGGGCCAAGAGTATAGCGCGCCAGAGGGGCCGGGTCCAGATGATCGGGTCCTTGGCTTTGAAGCGCACTCCTGGGTGTCTGAAGTCGCCTTGAGGCTTTGTGTTCGCGGCAGTCCTGGGCTATCCTCGGGCGACCCTTGCAGCTCTCTTCGGGACCATGTGGGCCTCCGAGGCCATCTCGGAGCAACGCGTTAGCAGCAAGTGGGAACTCCAGACAAGAAAATAAGACGTGTTGGAATTCCTGCTGGTCTTTGACTGATCTGGCCCTCTTGGACATCCTGTGCGGGCACTCTAGTGGCTTCTTGGGGCCTCGCCGTGCTACTGGAGACTTCCAGGGGCAGCCTGGGGCCTCCTGGGACCGTCGTGGGGCCCTTGGAACTTCTGCATCGCTCTGGGAGCCTCCTCGGGGAGCTCGGGGAGGCTCCATAGGGAGGCCCCTAGGAGGGGAGGCGCCACTTAGTAGGGGACCCTGGGGCCCTGGGTGCCCTGTGTGGGGGTTGGGCTTCGGGTGTGCGAATGGAAGATGGTCGTATCAGGAGGCAAGGATGGAGGAGGGAGGTGGCAGGGCGAGCAGAGTGGAAGAAGGCGGCCAAAAGGCGGAAGCAACACGCGGAGGAGGGAGTGGTGCAGAGGGACGGTGGAGGGAGGATATGGACGAGGAGGTTGAGGAGGCGGAGGAGGAGGAAAAGGAGGAGGAGGAGGAGGAGGAGGAGAAAACCAGTGTACACCCAAGGCTCATCAACGATGTTGCATCAACCCTCCCTCCAAGTTCCCTTTTGATAGCTCCCTACAACAATTTATTTTCACTGCGGGAAGTGCTCCGTTGGAAGGCAACTGTTTGAAAATCTCCATCCATGCCCAAGAACCATTCCTGGGACGTCAACGTCGTGAATCAACGCTACTGTTGCGTCCCGACGATCCTGAATTGTGCCAGAACGCCGTTCCTGGGACTTCAACACCACAATTCAATGTGACTGTCGCACTCTGACAATCCTACATCGTGACAGAATACCATTTCTGGGACTTCAACAATAGGAGCCCTTGCAACGGTTGTACACTGTAAAGACGAATGTGCGCGGCGCTAGCGCAATAATCACATTTTGAAACGAACCGTCCCCGTGAAGCTCTTGCAACCTTTTAAAATGAATGTGCGCGGCGCGAAGGCGAGAACCACATATAAAAAACGGCCCGCCTTCCATGCGTGACGTGGAACTAATACAAACTTTTGAAACGAATGTGCGCAACGCTAAGGCGAGAATCGCATTTTGAAAACGAGACCCGCCCTCCAACCGTGAAGCTCTTGCAAATTCCCCACATGTTTTGTGGGGTTCTGGTTTTCTTCCATGCCGCGTCGCACCCGCGTCTCCCTCCTCCCTCTCCTCCTCTTCTTTTCTCCCCTCGTGCACTCGTCAAAGCGTCGGGAATGTGGTCCGCCTTCGAATCCGCTCTGGAGGACAGGCTTCACGCGCAACACATGCATGGCATGTTCATGAAACACGCGTCTGCGTACAGCCGCACGCACGCACGCACTCCCGCACACAAGCACACGCACTAACAACGCCAGTGCCCGGCGTGTTCACTGCGTCATACACCCACGACGTATGCGCTACATACAGGGCAACCACATGAGACACACGTCCATATGCAGCGCGGCTGCTATGCGCGCTTCTCGCCAAGACATAACAAGCGTGACACCACAACGGGTGCGCAGGGGGTGGTCCCTCAACGCGGCCGCTATCCGTCACGGTCGTCCAAGGTATAACAAGCGTGGCATATTGTCGACACCGTATGGGTGTGCGCAAGGGGTGGTCCCTCAGCGCGGCCGCTATCCGTCATGGTCGTCCATGGCATAGCAGGCGTGGCTTTATCCTCGACGCCATCGGGGGTGCGCAAAGGGTGGTCTTTCAGCGCGGCCGCTATCCGTCACGGTCGTCCAGGGCATAGCAGGCGTGGCATATTCTCGACACCATCAAGGGGTGCGCAAAAGGTGGTCCCTCAGCGCGGCCGCTATCCGTCACGGTCTCCCAGGGCATGACAAGCGTGGCATTTTCTCGACACCATCAAGGGTGCGCAAGGGGTGGTCCCCCAGCGCGGCCGCTATCCGTCACGGTCTCTCAGGGCATAGCAGGCGTGGCATATTCTCGACACCGTAGGGGGTGTGCAAAGGGCTGGTTTCTGAAAGCGGCCTTTATCCGTCCCAAGATCGCAAGGCGTGGCAGGCGTGGCACTTTCCCAAGACCATCGAAGGTGCGCAGGGGGTGGTCCCTCACCGTGGTCTCTATCCGTCTCAGGGTCGCAAGGCGTGGCAAGCGTGGCATATTCTCGGCAGGGGGTGCGCAGGGGGTGGTCCCTCACTGTGGTCGCTATGTCTCAGGGTCGCAAGGCGTGGCAGGCGTGGTACTTTCTCAACACAATAGAGGGTGCGCAGGGGGTGGTCCCTCATCGTGGTCTCTATCCGTCTCAGGGTCGCAAGGCGTGGCAAGCGTGGCACTTTCTCAACACGATACAGGGTGCGCAGTGGGGGGTCCCTCACCGTGGTCTCTATCCGTCTCAGGGTCGCAAGGCGTGGCAGGCGTGGCAATTTCTCAACACCATACAAGGTGTGCAGGGGGTGGTCCCTCACCGTGGTCTCTATATCCGTCTCAATGTCGCAAGGCGTGGCAGGCGTGACACTTTCTCGACACCATAGAAGGTGCGCAAAGGGGTGGTCCCTTACCGTGATCTCTGTCCGTCTCAGGGGCGTCGCAGGCGTCACGCGGCATGTCAGGCCCCCAAGGCTTGAACCACGCCGCCTTCGATGTCGGCGAAACAACGGCCTCGAACAACACGCTCGCAAATTCCACGTCAACTGCCATCACGCAAGACACGTGATAAGTATGTGGGGTTCCTCGGTAGCGTAATTTTCAAGACGGATGTGCGCGGCACTAAGGCGAGAACAACATTTTGAAAACCAACCGCCCTCCGTCCGTGAAATTGTTGCACATTTTGAAGCTTCAAGACCGTAAGTGGTGAGGAGGTCTCAAGCGAAACGCCCGGCCCGCTCTTGCGACCCTTCTCGGGGCGCGACAGGGAAGATATTTCTATAGGAAGAAGGATTAAGAGCGCGGATAGGGGGATGAAACATTAAAAGGAGAGCGACGGGGAGGGGCAGGGTGGAGGAAGGAGGGATGAATGGGGGGATCACCGAGGCGGGGAGGAGGATGGTGGGGGCAGGATGACGAAGTAGAAAGCAGGGGGCAAGAGAAAGAGGAACCGGGAGAGGGAAGGGAACGGAGGAAACTACACACGAAGAGTATGGAATACGGTTGGATAAGGAGAAGGCAGCGGCAAGATGGACATGAAGAAGGATGGAAGGGCGCAAGAAAGAGAGAGAAAGAGAGAGAGAGAGAGTGATATATGATCCATAAAGAAAGAAATGATGCGAAGCGAAAGAGAAAAGGGTGTTGAGGGGCGGGAGGCGCAAGGATGAGAGGAAAAGGAAGAGGATGAAAAGGAGGAAAAGAAGGGGTAGGAGGAGGAGGAGGAAGGGGATAAGGAGGAGTGAGGGGGAGAGTGATTGCGTACCTGTGTTTTCGAAATGAAGCGTGTAGGACATATTTTGTAGTCTCTACGGGGAGCGCCTGAGACCTGTTGAAAGCCAGCTCGGGTCTCTGGGGAAGTCTTTGGGCAGCCTCCTGGAGGCACTTTTGAAGCCTCTTGGGCTGCCTATCGGGGCCTCTTTTGGGCCTCTTGGGTCCTCTTGGGGAGTCCTTGGGGGCCTGCTGGCGGTCTTCGAAGTCCTCTGCGGGCAGAAGCTTCGGGATGCCGGTTCGAATTCCCCCCCTGGGGCCCCTCTTGGGGCTGTCTTGGGGCCCTCTTGGGCCGTCTTGGAGCCCTCGTGGGCCTCTTGGGACCTCAACCCTTTGTAAATTGCACCTTACCCGCGCTGCCGAATCCACAATCCCTTGTAAATTGCGCCATAGACGCGCTGCCGAGGCCACAATCCCTTGCAAATTGCACCGTGTTCGAGCTGCCGAGGCCACGATCCCTTACACATTGTATGAAATTTGCGATGCCGAAGCCAGAATCTCTTCCAAATTTCGCCATACTCGCGCTGCCGAGGCTTCAATCTTTAGCACATTGCATTATATTCGCGCTGCCGACGCCAATTTGCGCTGCCGAGGCCACAACCACTTACAATGTGCGCCATATTCGCGCTGCCGAAGCCACAAACCCTTGCAATTTGCGCCGCAGTCGCGCTGCCGACGCCACATTCCTGTGCGAATTGTATTTTTTTGGCGCTGCCGAGTCCACACTCTTTCGCAAATTGTGCCATGTTCGCGCTGCCGAGGTCACAATCCCTTGCAATGTGCGCCATATTTGCTTTGCCGAAGCCGCAACCCTTGGAAATTGCGCCAAATTCGCGTTGCCGAAGCTACAATTCGTCGCGCATTGCGCCGTATTCGCGCTGCCGAGGCAACAATCCTTCGCAACTTGCGTAATATTCGTGTTTCTGACGCCACGATCCATAGCACATTGCGCCAAATTCGCGCTCTCGAGGCC